TTATTTTTGGGAGAGGTTTGGTCCAGGTGAAGGGGTCATTCTATATCCTATCCATTCTTGCAGTTCGTTAAATGTGACTGCTGGGGGCGCCAGTGGTCTAGTCATTAGTTTGTGTGCCCCATGTACAAACTCTAGTACGGTGGCTTGGAAGTGCAAACCAAAATTACAAAGTGCAACACACTTTTTGCAAACACTGAAACTCAAATGAAATGTTAATTGACTGGTGAAAAAAATCTACAGATATCGGAGAATATCTGTGACAAAATAAGCCGATACCAATATTGACTTGAGTCGCTAATATTGGCCGGTCGATTAATCGGTCGGGCTCTAGTCACTTCTGGCATTTTGTACTTCCCTTTCCGGCAAGTTTCTGCCACTTAAACAGTTCTATCATCGCTTGTAAAAATGCATCTTGTAAATTTGTTTTCTGAAATTACACATATTGTCTCAAGCTTTATAAAGAGAGTGTCCATTTTTTAAGGCTGTGGATGTAGCAGCTGTGTTTAGACTGTACCTATGCTCTATCATTATGCCGATGATACTGTGATATTTCTCTCTAAACGGGCGACCCGGGTCCAACTCGACCTGTGTCTCCTATCTTGCATGTTATTCCCCACTCTCTCTCTGATTTCTGACTCTATCCTCTGTCCTGTCTCTACAATGAACACATAAAAAGCATCAAAATAAATATTAAAAAAAATGTGACTGCTGACTTTTGATTTCTTTAGCGAGGAGGGTAAAACAAATAATTGACTTTTCTTGTTTTGTTTCATAACTGATCCTCAACTTCAAAAAGACCTTTGAAACAGAACAAAACTTGGAGGAGGATTCGATGAACTCTCATCACGTCAACAATAAACCCATCCTAACAAACCTGTGACACACTTACCTGTCGGCCAGGTAGCCGATGGCGATACTCCCGATCAGGAAGCCCACGTTAAGAGTGGCCTGGTACATGTCCACCAACCACGCATCCGAACACACCAGGTCAAACTGGGGCGACACAAAGACGAATAAGGTCAATAAAAGATGTGATTTAGTCCGGATGTGTGGGACTTTTATTTTGTTCTTTAAGATCATAATCTCCCTCACAAGAACCCTTTTTTCACTTCAGGCTGGATTCATCTTCAAAAAAACAACTAGAAATGAAAATCTTAAATAAAATCATTAAATATTTCTCTGTTCATTTCTGTCTGATCATAATTTTTATGTCTTACATGTTTGAAACAAAAATCTAATCTTTCTTTCCTGTTCAATTATGCTCTTACTTCCCACTTTGTCCTGAGATACCTCAGACTATTAAAGTCATAAACTTAAGACGTATAAACATGTGTAGTTAGTTTAATGAAGTAAAATACAGATTAACCAATCATCTTCACACACGTTCACACACACACATTTCATAAGAGAGAAGAACACAGAGCTATATATTAAGAATGTTATGGAGTCAAATTAATGCTGACTAGACTGCTTCCTTAAAATCAATTTTTTTGACTTTGTGGGAGAAAGTGTGGAGGTCGGTGCAAAGTTTACGATCAGATTATTTAATTCTTTAATGTCTTAAAAAGAAAAAGCAGAGCCACGTTCAGGGACGTTGGAATGTAGAGCTATGCTTCAACAGTATTTTTAGGGACTCGTGTAAATGAGCTTTAGATGTTTGGACAAAAAGTTTGAGTTTTCATGAGAAGAAGACTTTGCTCGACAGCTGTGATCATTTAAAATCTGATCTCAAACCATCTTACATATTTTGCCGACAATCCTTCAGGACGACAGAAAAACTGAGGAGAATTTGTTGACTCGTCCCTGATAATAACCACCATGTGTCTTAGATAACTCGACGTCATCATTCTGGGACTTTATCTGAATATATTTGGTGGAAGTGTTTTGAAGAACTCGCAGCTGTCTTTTAAAAAAAAGGATGTCAAAGTGGGTACAAAGTCTTTGATGTGAGAAGAAAAAAATGGAGATTCTCTCTGTTGGACATCCAACTCCTGAGACAAGAGGGCTACCAGGGGGGCTGTTTGTATAAAATTCTTTTAGAGGAAACTCATTCAACAAGGATGTTGATTCTTTTTGAGGATTAAGAAAACCCTCTTCAAGTAAAATCTGTAGCTCTTTAAGATATCTCTTGGTTGGTTCACATTTGAATTGTTATAAAAAGGGTGTATTTGAAAGTTGCCGAAGAACCGCATGATAATAGTTACATTTGTCCATGATGACAAAACGCCTTCTTTGTCTGCAGCTTTTTCTTTTAAAGATGTTTTTTCATATTCTAGTACTCCAAGTCTGCAAGTATTTATTAGAACATCTTTTGGATTTTATCTGATTATGACACTCATAAGGAAGAGCACAGACGAGGCTGAAAAGGCAACACTCATCGGTTTAAAGTGTAGAGGGAATCCTTCAGGGGAACAGACTCTGCATTCATTCTGCAGAAGTGAAATTATTCTACACTTCACTTAGCAGACTCTTTTATCCAAAGCGACGTACATCAGAGAGTAAGTACAACACAAGCAAGGATCTAGAAAAAAGGGAACAATGTCAGTAAGAGCAAACGATCAGCTTTGAGTCTGATTGGACACACAGGTGCTGACAGGAAGTGACCAGAGGCAAAGCACAACATCGACGGCAGTTCTTGAGAGCTCTAATCAGTATAGAAACCATCTTGTAAGTCGACGTAATCAAACAAAAACCATTGTCATGACCATCATCATCATCAATAATATGGAGACCATCATCATTAAGTTAGTAGGTATTCATGAAAGAGCTGGGTCTTTAGCTTTTTCTTAAAGGTGCAGAGGGACTTTTAGAGTGTCATTTAGTTCTTGTACCTGTTTTTTGTGTTACCCACCTCGGTGACAAAGGACTGCCTCCCCTCGTAGTCGTACTCCCAGCCGTTCTTGCAGGCGGTCGTGGGAGTTTTCCCGAGGCCCAGTTCGACGGTATCGCAGGTGAGCGCCGTGGCATTCCAGTCCACGTCGTACTGCTCACAGCTGCTGTGCTGCTGCTGCTCTCCAGAGCTGTTGACCAGAGGCAGCGTCAGCCTGCGACCGTGTGCCAGGCTCCAGCCGCACTCCTGCCTCCTCTCCACCACCGCAGAGTCCCGACACCAGTGATCCGGTGTGTAGCCCTGGAACACGATGCCGACGTAGACGCCGGCCCAGGGCATGGAGACCATGCAGAACAGGGCGAAGATGCGCTTCTGACATCGGCCGAAGTTCCCAGCTTCCTCTAAGATGTCATCAAACGTGGTCATGGTTGAGTTTAGTTTCCTGCTTTCTCCTCTGAAGTCAAACTAAACACAGCTCGTCTCAATCACAGATTCTACTTCTGTTTGAACCCCGAGGCCTCCTTCTGACCACTGACATGCCGCCCCCCCCTCCTTTTGGGTTTTTAACAGGACCAGCAGGAGCAAAGGTCCTCAGAGAGACGTTCTCCCTCTACTCGTGCAGTGAAGCATTAAAACAGTCAGACGTCAGACGGATGTCAGTGATGTCGTCAATCTGTTAACATTTAAAATGGTTTCTGGTAGTCCTCTTAAGATCTCAGAGAAATATAAACACAGGGTTTAGTTGTGACGATCACTCGGGTTGACGTTAGTTTGGAGGAAGTTAACGATTTAAAAAACGACTTTTAATAATCATGAACGTCCTCAGAAGAGGTGTGAGGGTTTGTCCTGTCCAATGGCTTTCCCTCCTCAAAGAAGATCCAGTTAGAGATGTGAAAAATCAAAGACGACATGCACATCTCTAAGTTGGTGCTGGATCAAACAAAAGCGTATAAGAGGCAGAAAGTCTGAGGACGAGCATGTCGACTCCAAACGCTGCTTGTTGATAAATCCTTAAAACAGGAGCTCCTTGATGGAGGATCTTTTTTTGATTCTTTACGAAGTTTGAAAGTGTTTCTTGAGCATTGTTACATTTCAAGCACACGTCTCTGCATTGTGTTCACAGTGAGGTAGTTTTGAGCGTCTTTGAAAACAGTTCTATGTTAACAGTTTGTGACATTATGTTCGAGTGTTGAGACAGGCGCTTGGCTCGTTCTTTATTCATTCTCTTCAAAGAAAGACAAAACTTTAAATCACTTCAAGCTTCGGAGCTCATCTTCAGGAACCATCTGTTCAAAGATCGTCTGATCAGATTGAATCAAATCTTAAGAATTGGGGATGTGTCCAGTGTGTGTTGTTTGAAACTTTTTAGCAGGATCGGAATAACTTTGGTCCAAAAACATGAGGAAGATCTTGATCTAAGCGGGGGGCCGATTACGTCTGGATTACAGGAACATAATGCCATGATTATTTCAAGCAATGAAGGTTGACCTCATTTTCGATACTTTATCTTAAACGTGGTATTGTGGACCTCTTCATGCTCTCTGTCCCAAACGCTCAGGCAAAAAATCTAGAAAAGGGCTTTTAGTTATTCTGCACCCTCAGCCTGGAATCTGTAGCAGAATGACTTAAACATCGAGGAGCTCGAGGAGCTGGTGTCCTTAAAGGTTTTTAACTCTAAAATTAAAGGCAGCAGGTTCTACAGGATGATCGATGCTTATAGCTAGACTGCTCGATCTACTGACTCCTGGATTGGACTCAGAGATTTTTTTTTTTTTAATGTAAGTTTAGTGTTTTTGTAAATTGTACTTTGTCTCCTTTTGTGTCTCAGTCTGTAACTTTGTGTTGCTGCCTGTCTCGTCCAGGTCTTCCTTGGAGAAGAGGTTCTAAATCTTAATGGGACCAACATGGTTAAATAAAGGTAAAAAAACAGACAAACCCCAGGAAATGTCTAAATAGCAAAATCTACTGAAATGTTGCCAATATTTTCTTTGAGATTTGAAAGTGTTCAGGAGTTTTGCTGCAATTTCTGATGATTGAAAACAAGAAATGTCCAAATGTTGGGTTTCTAGGACGACTATTTTTGTTGCCGTGGTAACAAATCATTAGGTCTTTATATTGCTAGATTGGGATCATATGGAAGTGATAACTGTACAAGAAAACACAACATTTCTACAGTGTAGTCATCACAAAGCAGCGATGAAACAGCAGATCTTATTTATTCAAATAATGTCGTATTTTTTACATCGATGCTTTTTAAATAGGAAAACAGGCAAAGAGCTGAGAAACAGACAACATAACTCACACCAACGCAAACAGAATGATGATCTCCCCAAAGTACCCAATCATCACAGAAAGACTTCTTGTGCTTTTCCCTCGTTCGTTTGTGTCTGCCCGCTTCTGAATTTAACTCCTTCCTCCCTGATTTAGTGTCATGTAGCCCAAAACTGCACGAAAAAAAACAACACCTGTTCACATCTGGATAGAAAAAGGAGGAGGTTCAGGATGGTACCATGCAGGCAGACGCAGGAAACTTTACTGACATACTTCATGAGTCTGGAGTCAAAGCTTCACTAGAACCTCGACATCCAGATGTTTCTTCTTCGGGGTTCAAGTCGATAACTGAACAAAGATTATTAAAAAAATATGCTGCAAAGAAAATTTGATCTTTTCACCTTCCCTCGATGTAAAAATCAACTTTTTTCTAACGCTCTTTAGTCGTCACATCGATGTCATGATGAGAATTTTCACTGTTTTTCTGACATTGCAAAGTCAACATAATTACTGATGTTTTAAATAAAATAAAGAAAAAGTAAAAAAAAAAAAATTGCTAGTTGCAGCTTTCCAAACCCTTGACATGTTTCTCAGAAGATAAATTCAAAGCACCGGCCAGTCCACCGTGTTTAGTTTAAGTTACAGCGACAGTTTTTCTCTTAGCGCCCACGACCTTAAAACGATGAGAGAGACATTTTAGCAAAAGCAACATTCAAATGAGTCTGTTTGTAAATCGACCAATTTGTGTTCTTAATGTGTGGATACAAAACTAAAACCTCCGACCTCACATCAAACTACGTCTGTGGAGAGAACGACGCCACCCCGAATACTCTGTGTGCTGATACTGTGGCGGGCTGAGTCCCAACATGTGGAAACACCTGGATTCAGCTTTGACTTCATTTTTAGAAATACTGGCATCCTGTCAGACAGCGGCAGGTTATACTGGATGTGAAATGGGAGTTCATATCCTGTTTTCGTGACACTTTGACGCATCACTTCCTTGTTTTTTTTGTCGTCATCATCACGTTCATTTGGCTTAAAAAAAAAAAAAAAAAGGGCAGATTTCGGCACTACAAAAATTTGGTTTTACTGAGAGTGTTTGGTGCATCCATGATCACAGATCTGGAGCGCAGAGAAACGTTTTTAACGCACGAGAATGTGCAAGCGTTGGGGGGGAAAAAAGTCCCTACATTAGCAGCTGTAGAGATATGGCTTTGACAGGAGGGAGGGGGAGGGGACTTCAAAACAAAACAAATCCTAAACTAACATCGACTTTCAGCCTCCGCCCTCGTCGACTTGTCCATTCACACTTAAGGCCACCTTTCTTTACACACACAACAGAGATCGGCACGATAAATCAGCTCGTTAAGCAACCGTTTAAATAATCATAAAAACAAAATAATGTGCGAGCAACTCACCAGTGAGGACAAACGGACAAACGATAAACAAACAACAAAAAAACGTCCATATTATAGAACACGGTCGCCTATGTACAACGTCTCGGATCCAAAACAAGAACAAAAATCAATCCGTCGCCGGACAACGATTCAGCCAGGAAGGCATCGCTCTCTCTCTTTTCTCTCGATGGGGAAACAGAGAGACTGCTCCCATGTTGACTGTAAACAACAAGAAGACAAACGGCTGTCTTCATTCCCTTTTAGAAACAACACAATCGGACTCCTTCAGGCTTCGTTCTCTTCATTAGTTGATGATTTTCTCTCCTAAATCTGCTCAATTTGTTTCCCCACTGAGCTTCTTAAAAATCTACATCTCTACAGAGTTACAGGATACGGTCCTAACAGGCCCAGGGACTTTCAAAATAAAACAAATAATCAACTCAAAATGTGGCTTTTCTCTGCGACGAGGCGTGTCGACAGCGGGGGTTTCCTCAGCTAATCAATGCTACAGTAAAGTGCTAAAGCAAAATGGCACAGCCTCATTTCAAACCTCTAGAAGAAAAAAGAAAGACGTCGTACAAATTGATGAAACAACGTTACACCGACATGCCTCGATGTGTCGAGTCCCAGCCGGCCTGTTAGGAGTGTATCGAGTAAAAAGAGTAACTCTAGAGACGCAGATTATTTCCTTTCAGAGTTTCAGAGAAAATATGCAAAAATAGAAAACAATTTAAATAAACAGCTATCAATAAATAAGAACCCATGTGCTTACATCGACAGTCTGTAGAGAGCCGACTGGATCGAGTCCGAGTAAAAGGTGCAGTCCAAACCAAAAAAAAAGATAATCCCAAAGAGAGAGGAAAGGTTTCTGCTTCGTCGGAGTCGGAGACATTCGCTGAGAGAGAAGAGTTCAGATTGGATGGATAGAGAAAGAAGGAGGAGGACGAGGAGGAGGAGGAAGTGACATCACACCCTGAGGAGGTCCTCGTCACTGTCGTCCTCGTCCCGTTTCCTGTTGGCTGCCGCGTTGTTGTCGTGGTTGCGGCCTGAGGGGCGGGGTTTGCTGCCCTTCCGCTTCCTGTCCGACTCTTCCAGGAGGCCGACCAGGTCTTCATCGCTCTCCTCCTGAAATGAAACAAACGTCTGTGAGGTTTCTACGTAACGCTTTATTTGGAATCGGCACATTTGATTTTCTGAAATGTGGTTTTATAGAACATTTAACACAGAAAACAATGTTTGGTGTGATTTGGAAGTTGTGTCATTTTGCCGTTCATCAAGCAGGATCTGTGTTTTACTCTGGTGGACATAAATAAAACCAATGTGGAAGTGCAAGTTCCTCAAGTGTCCACCTCAGGTTGGCTCCAAAAACCAAGAATACGCCCACTTTTTGGAGTCAGCCTCAAGTGGAGATTTGAAGAAGTGCAGTTTTTTTTTGCACTTCTGCACTGGCTCCATTTTTCACCATCAGAGGTTGCTAATATCTCCGGGCTCCTCGTATCGGAGGAGACGGACGCTCACCTGGAGGAAGGCGCTGCGGTGGACGGTGGAGGGCCTGGAGAGCCCCGAGGATTTCAACACCCTCACCCCGGGGACGCTCAGCACCTCGTCCTCGCTGTCGTCGTCGTCGTCCTGCTCGTCCAGGGAGAAAGAGCGCAGGCCGTCCATGTTCACCGGCTTGGTCTTGATGTGGCCGTTGCCGTGGTTACTCTTCCCCCTGTGGGAGGAGGATGAGGAGGAGGAGGATGAAGGAGGGGCTTCCAGCTCCTCCATCAGCCACTCCATCTCCTCTTCGCCTCCTTCTTCGTCCATGTTGACCTAAGGAGAGAGAGACACGTTTAAAATCTAATTTCCTTAAATTAAAGAATCTATTACAGAAAAATGTATTAGATGAACCTACTTTGGAATATTTATAGGCGACCTGGTTTCCTCTCCTGCAGCAACCGGCGACCTTCTGGATCACCAGATCTCTGTTAGAGAAAGGAGAAATGATATTCATCAAAATCCACTCGACAGACGAGTCTGCCAGCACCTCTCAGTTCATCGATCATGACTTCACCTTCTCTCTCTCTTGTGCAGCAGAAACCCGAGCAGGCAGACCACCAGACCCACCAGCAGCAGAGTCAGCATCAAGCCCATCGCCTGAGTCCGCCTGGAGAGAGCCGGAGTGTCGCTGTCGTCGTCGTCGTCAAACGACTGAGCGTCGACGGTTCTGCAAGAAAAAACATAACTCAATCTGCAAGTTCTCAGATCGACTTTTTACTGTCTGACGATAAAAGAAAAACCGGATTCAAGATGAGAGATTTTTTTTTTTAACTCACGTTAGACCACACACGGCGTTGGTGTGCCACACAAACAGGTACTGGCATCCGTCCGTCTCGCTCATGAACTCTGGGATGCCGACGCCTGCCGAGGGGTTGCAGTGGAACATGATGGTGGAGGACACCATCTTTGTTTTCTCCCGTCCACACTGGGACTCGGAGGGCACCATCACATCCAGGTTTCCTCCTGATGGAAAAAGACGAGATGTAGTGAACATGACGTTAGCGTTGATATGTGGTTCATAGGGGAGCTTCATTTTCAAAACACGAAGAAACGTCTTTTTGTGTTGAAGCACTACACTTCAGGTATTTAGAAATGACAGCTGAGAGACAGTAAATTCCAGGTGGAGAGAGCGGGGGGGTGACATGCTGCAAATGGCTGAAGCCGGATCTGAACCCTACGACCGCAGCAACGAGGACAGTAGACTAGGGCCGGGCGATATGGACCAAAAAGCCAATGTGGAAGTGCGAATTCCTCAAGTGTCCACCTCAGGTTGGCTCCAAAAACCAAGAAATCCCCAGTCCTTCTGATATTAACACGGCCACTTTTTGGAGCCAGCCTCAGGTGTAGATTTGGGCGAGCAACGAGGGCTGGGCGATGTGGACCAAAACTCATATCTCGATATTGTTTAGCTGATTGGCGATACTTGCTATATATGGATATGTATTTTATTAACAGTGAAAACACATGGAAAAATAAACTACCTGTTTGTGAATTTAAAAAGTAATATTATAAAATAAAAATGTTCCTTAAATACAATAAAAGAGAGAGAGGGGAGGAGCAGGGTGAAGAGGGACAGACAGTCAGACATCATCAATGAGATGAGAAAAAGGTGACCTGACACCTCTGTGACGTTATTTTAATGCAACATAAACTATATCAATATTAACGATATCGTCTTACCCTATATCTTGTTTGAAAATACATCAATATATATCTTAAAAACTCGATATATTTCCCCCCTACTGCTTTTCTTTTTTTTCCAAGATTTTTTTGTGCTTTTATTGGAGAGACTGAACAGTGGATAGCGTCAGGAATCAGGTAGAGAGAGAGAGAGTGGGGGATGACATGCGGGAAAGGAGCCACAGGTTGGATTTAAAACCTGGGCCGCCCCGCCTGGAGGACTTCAGCCTCCGTACATGGAGCGAGGGCACTAACCACTGTGCCACCAGCGCCCCTGCACATTTTGAACTTCTCTCTCTGAATAGAAGACTGTAATTGTAATTGATCCAGGAGTGATGGTCATGTGATGGTCGTGTGGATGAACATGTTAAACATCAGTGATACAAACACAGGGGCCTCTGACATGACAACATTTTGACCCCAGCAGCGTCTTTCTTGTAATTAGACTGAGCGGTGACTCACCTTTAATGTAATACTTGGCGCTGCTGGAGGAGCCGATCTTGCGCCTGTAGGCCGCGTTGAGTTTGACCTGGCAGATGTTGGCTCCCACACAGCTGGGCAGGGAGATGTTGGTGAGGCCGGACAGCTGGATGTGGTAGATGTAGCGGTCGCCGTTGGGACGGATGTCTCCAGATGCCTGATGGTGGCTGAGAGGAGGAGGAGGATTTAAAGAAGATCAACAAATAGAGAAAGTGAAATAAAGAAGTCCTCTTTATCGTTTTATCACAATCAGCTGGACAGGTGTAGTGTGCACTTTGGGCTACCTGAAGTAAAGATCTCCCAGACTGAGGCTGACTCCCGTGTCAGGAACCTGGATCGTCCCGTTCTTCATCTCCACCTCACGCGGCTTCACCGCACACGCCGACCGAGTCTCCCAGCCAATCACAAACTCACAGGAAGTCTCATTGACGCTGCTCGAGACAAAAACACACAAAAACATGAAGTGATTATTTACTGTGAAGATGGATACAGGGGGAGAGAGAGAGAGAGAGAGAGAGAGAGAGAAAGAGAGCGATACAGAGACAGAGAGAGAGAGAGAGAGAGGGAGAGAGAGAGAGAGAAAGAGAGCGATACAGAGAGAGAGAGAGAGAGAGAGAGAGAGATACAGAGACAGAGAGAGGGAGAGAGACAGAGAGAGAGAGAGAGAGACAGAGAGAGAGAGAGAGACAGAGAGAGAGAGAGAGACAGAGAGAGAGAGAGAGAGAGGGAGAGAGAGAGGGAGAGAGAGAGAGAGGGAGGAAGAGAGAGAGAGCGAGGAAGAGAGAGAGAGCGAGGGAGAGAGAGAGAGGGAGAGAGAGGGAGAGAGAGAGACAGAGGGGGAGAGAGAGAGAGAGGGAGACAGAGGGAGAGAGAGAGAGAGGGGGAGAGAGAGAGGGAGAGAGAGAGAGAGAGAGAGAGAGAGGGAGGGAGAGAGAGGGAGGGAGAGAGAGAGAGGGAGAGAGAGAGAGAGAGAGAGAGAGAGAGGGAGAGCAGGAGAGATACTTGACTCTATTACACCAACTGAGTGTCTTAAAAAAGGAGAAAACTTGTAAATAAAGTGACAGAATAATAAAAACATGACAAGACATGTTAACGATACACTAGAATTACAACCATCGATTGACATATTCAACAAAGTTACGCATACTACTCCTGATCAGACCGTTAAAAGACGGGGACACCACACCAAAGAAGCTCAGGAAGGCAAACAGCATCAGCCAATAAACACAACACATGTCCTTAAACAGGAAGTAAGAATAGGGAAATAAATAGCATGTCATTTTGCCCTTCAAAAAGTGATCCTTTACTAAAGAAGATGTTTTTGTTTTAGTGCTGGAATGAATGTTATTGATGCAGACAAGGTACAAAATGTACTTTTTGAGTCATTGGCCAAGGTGGTAGAGAGATGAAAACATCCGCTGGCCAATCATTTGCCTCTCCCACAAATCAAACACAAGCTCTGCCTGGTCTGTCTTGGTCTTGTAAAGCAGGTTATATAATGTTAAGTACAGTGAATGCACCTTTAAAAATGGTGAATATTTGACAGATATTATCCGAGTGATCTACACAGAGAGAAACAGTCAAACACTCATCCAGAACATCGGACTGATAAATGACAGTGACGAGTGTTCTGCAATGCTCCGCCCACAAATCAGGTTTCAAGAAGATGAACTTTAACTTATACGTATATAAGTTAAAGTTACAAACACTCTTTTTAACTGTGTGTGAGAAATGACAAACTGAAGAGTAAATGAGTGTTACTGGAGACTGTGGTTCTAGTCTGTTGCAGCATCACACTTCAGGGTCAACATAACATAACCATAGGAGGGAAACGACGCAGATTTGACTGTGGAATAAATCTAAAAAAAAAAAAAGCGTCTTTTATACCTGGGTTGAAAATGACTTAACATGTGTTTACCTGATGAGTGCCGGGCGTCCCATGATGGTGCCACAGCTCAGCTGGATCACAGTCTTGGCCTTCACTCCGTTACCACAGACATCGTCTCCCGCTGAGTAACTCACAGAGATCTTTCCGTCTGCACGAGAAGTTTGTGTGTTAGAATGAATTCATACAGTCTAAACACAGCTGTGAGAGTCAAACGCAGCCGGAAACACGAGCTCATTAAAGGCCTCTAAAGTCATCCAGGGCTGACAGATTTAACATGAATGTGACTTTTAGTGCATTTTTAATGACATTCATGTTCAGACATGTTGGATTCAGTCATATTCCTCTAACAATAAAGCAGTAAAAGCTCTACAAACTTTCATCCTTTGACTCCATACAGATTTTATTACAGCCTCAAAGAGTCAGACATGAAGCGAAATGAAAAGTGTTGGACTTGATTCCCTCACCAGTGTAGCTCATCGCCTGGGTGTAAACTCGACCCAGCGCCTGAGTCTGTCCCGCCGCAGAGTGTCTGCACACCGACGCCCCTTCTGGACATCCTGGTAGTCCGCCGTGGATACCCTGACACAGGTTGAAGTAATACCTGAGGACGTTAAAACGGGGACATTTTCAGCTTTTGCATGAAACATAAAATTTATTCCACCTACAAGGCTCCTTTGTGTTTTTCATCTTCTGCTTAACTCTGTTGTAAAGCAAGAAATACTAGGACGTATTATCATGAAAAAGCTGTGTATTAACTGTATTTCATCTTGTGTTTGAGATTCAGGTGCATGTCTAACATAGAGAACAAATCATATGACGCATTTTTGTAGGCCAACCCTGAAGTAGAATCACCATGAGGTCTAATGAGAATCCTCCTCTGGGATGTTTTCAATGGATTTTGGATCATTGCAGAAAATAATCTCTGTAGTAAACACACGTTTCTGAAGCGTAGGCGTTTTGTTCAGCAGGATAATCTTCACAGATGAACGCCACCTTTATGATGTTTGAAGCGTTAATGCAGCCAACAGAAGTAAAAAGCTAACGTTATGCTACAAGCTAACTACGCCACGGTGGGATGATTGTGACGTCACTAGCGTTATGCTTCAGACGATCTCCGATAAACTAATCCACGTATCTTAATAAATAGTTTACTAACATAATATTCACCTTAACCTAAAGATTAAACCTACAGGAGACATCTCCGACTACTGAGAGAGTTCCCGCCCTCTGTGTCCGGCGTGATGACGTTTAATGTCCCCGACAACCACTGTAGTCACATTTAGCCGCTTGTTAGCGACCGCCTTTTTAAAGACGAGTAAAAACTTCAAACTTCACAAGTGGAGGTATTACCTAACGTAGTTTATGTGCTCTAACAAAACACCAACATCTCTTCAGCTTGTGTTAACCACAGACCTTATTTCAGGAGTCTAACCACAAACACATTCAAAATCCACTTTTAGACATTAGACCCCATGGCGCTCAAAAGCTAACTCACTTCCTGGTTTTAGGACTCATTCCTGTGGCGCTCTATCATGGCAGGATGAAAAACATTGAATACTATAAAAATGAGCCGAGGTTTCGGTTTGCTGCTGTCACTTACGAGTCTCCTTTGCGGCCGAACTTCCACGGCTCGGTGAGGGAGGACAGAGTTCTCAGATCGAAGGTCCGATGCTGGCTGACCAGTTTGCACTCCATCTTCTTCGGCGGACAAACGGCGCTGGTCGTCCACTGGAACGTGGCCGAGCAACCCTCCGTCTCCGAGAGCAGCTTCGGGGAGCCGTGGCCTGCAGACTGGTCGCAGTAGAACAGAATGGAGGACTGTCGCTGACCTGAGGCTGGGCGAGGGAGAAAACAGGGTCATACATGGTAAAGTTGTGCTGCGAGATAAAAAGAGTCACTTCCTGTCAACGAAAAAAGAGCAATTATCTATAAACACTTTTCTAGTTTCGTCATTCACTTCCAACATCAGCAGTTCACAGTGAAAGAAAACAGCGGATATGAGATGTGGCACCTTCATGGCAGAATCCCCATTTCTTGTCTGTGTCGTAGTTCGCGGTGGTGGCACACCACTTCTTGCCATCGGTCCGTCCTTCCTTGGTGCACTCTGTGTACGACTTCTTCATGTGCGTGAAGGGGAACACGCACGCCTCGCCTCTGTCCGTCACTGGAACACACACAAACAAACACAGAGACTGTGATGACTGATGGGATTGTGTGATTTGGAACATTTGTGTTATTTAATTAACTCACATTAAAGCTTCACAAATATTTGAGTCAGCAGATTTTCTTTAAAGGCTTTATATGTGATTTTTTTGATCCAGCAGATGTCGCCCTTGAGCACCAGCATGAAACCAAAACAACTCGCTCTGCATTGTTGTGTTAGCATGCTAATGCTAGCGATCTTTATTATGCTGGTATCTTCACACTGCATGTAAATTTACCTGAAATGAGCGTGATCTAGAAACACAGTTAAGCAGTGAGTACAGTATGTTATTCTTCTTTTCTCTAGTCCCTCAATTAAACAACTTTTATACACGAGTGGAGGAGTCAGCCGGCCGTCCGGGCGATGTAAACAAAGTGAAGATAGGACTCTGAAAACTCTGAAAACATCACAGACAGTGGGACTCGGGTGTTACACCCATTGTAGACAGTCATGACTCACAGAGTTATTTTCAGAGGATAAACTTGATTTATATTTAAGTGTGAAAAATCACATATTAAGACTTTAAACGGATTAAAATGTTTTGTAAATGTACGATTTTTTGAGGCAAGTTTTGTTTCTTTGAAAGCAATAAGCAGGATGATTTGTTAATTAGTGGCAAAGACCAAAAATTGTGGCAGCTGTAGCTCAGTGGGTAGAGTCAGTCGTCTCTTGACCGTAAGGTCAGGGGTTCGATCCCCAGCTCCTGCAGCCACATGTCCAATGTGTCCTAGGGCAACCTTAAGTTGCTCCTGCTGCTTTATCGACAGGGTGTGAATGTGTATGAATAGATTAGCTCATTCTGATGGTTCACTTTACACAGCAGCCTCTTCCACCAGTGTGTGAATGTGTAGGTGTGACCTGCCGAGTAAAAACGCTTTGTACGGACAGTTTGCACTTTAATTAACACACTAACTCTGTGTTAAGTCACTGAAAATGGTCCGTTGAGAGATTTAAGTCTAGTTGTTTTGTTACTCAATCATGACATTTAAAAAAATGTTTCATCCTTACTCTTACAAAGGAACTTTTTTTAATCTTAAAATGTGTCAATGCGTTGAGTTTTCTCGTCATGCATCACTTCCTGCATGTTTGTCCTGAGTTGCATTGACAGTAAAGGAGAAGATTAAAGCGTCTAAAAAAAGTGATATCTAGACTTTGTCAAATGCTCATCAAATCCAGCTAACTGGAAGGTGGAATTAGTCCTCGAGCTAAACCCTGATTGGAGGTCTTTTGAAGGGGGTAAGCAGACTCACCTGGTGGGCAGGGATCTCCTCCTCCATACTGCATCAGTACGGCCTGCTCCTCGTGTTTGTATTCCATCGTCATGGCCTTGCTGATGCCATATGAAGAGGAGGTCTTGTCTGAACCCGAGCCAGACGCCCGGCAGACGGCGCTCTTCTTACAGGCCGGCTCTGTCACCGAGCTGCAGACGTTAATGTGGTACATGCTGGAGCCCGCTTGTACCTAAAATACAGACACTCATCTTCAGAACAATGTTTAACTCACAGCCCTCAAACATCAGATATTTATATATAAATATCTTATATAAACTTTCATTGAGAGTGGATTTTGGCGCCCCCATGTGGACACTTTGCTGTACTTTTATTTAAACATAAAAAGAATCCAGCTTTTTGTTTATTTTGCAAGACAATGTTTTGAATTTGGACTGCAGTACTCATTTTGAACACTAGGGGGTCAGAGTTACATGGAGCTCACCTGGACTTCACCAGATAGGGCCGACAAGTCGAAGGTGAACTGCAGCTGTGAGTCGGTGAGCCGGCAGCCGCTGGTGTGCGTGGTGTCTGAACAGACGATGGGGGTCGCCCACTCGAACAGGTACACACACTCCTGCAGCCGCAGCATTTGTGGGGAGCCCTGTGTGAAGGCAGAAACGGTTGCTATGGGAACATTGAGAGTTTAAATGTTTGGTATGTGTCATCTGGAGGAAATTAAACGTTTTGGACTGACCAGCTCCAGGCCTCTCTGGCAGGTGAAGATGATGGTGGAGGTGTAGTTCTGGGAGGGATCGGCTGCACACTTGGTGGAGCTGTGGTAGGTGATGGACACTTCTCCTGTCGCGGCGTTGATCTCAGGCCCGCTGGTGGTCCGCCCGATGTCCTTAAAGAGACAGACACACTGTTATGTACAGTGACAAAATCTGGAAGTTGTATATTTAACCAAAGGGCTCCTGTACAAACAAAAAGTTGTACTTATATATTCCATCAGCTGTTTTTACATGACGTCACTCTAAAGTTGGTGCTCTGGTTTTTATTACAAGGCAATAATCACGTCAGTGAGACATGAGTGTTTGTGAGGTTCTCACCACAGGAGGTCCATTATCAGGATCCATACAGACAGCAGCTCCAGGGGGGCAGGTGACCCCCGGGATGGGGTTCAGAGGCTGACAGATGTTGATGTAGAAGTCTGGAGAACCATCACTTTGGTCCACTGCATCATCTGGGAGGGGGAAAACAAGACAGCGGTTACTATGTTAAAAGATAGCTTCTTTTCTAGAGCTGCATTAAGTAGAGACATTTAAATCATGAATTCAGGGGAGTTCAGAACTTGCTCACTGACCTGTTGCTGCGTAGAATCCGTTAACGTGGATCAGAGGAGTCAGGTCTATGAGAGCAGAGCCGTTCTGGACTGAACACCTCACCTGGAAAAAATCCATCAAAAGGAATAAAAACACATGTGATGGCTCGATGCTTATCGTATCAGACTCTGGACCAACGGACCACCAAGCCAACACATCTGAAGGCAAAGAACTTTTTTTGGTGGCTGAATTGTGAACAGTTTGCTTTAGTACACAACTTAACGTACACTCTAATTTACGAGTAGACTTCAAACACATATCTTTTAGAATTGTTTCTTTTTTTTTTTTTTCTTTTTAAGATTTATTTTGGGCTTTTCGTGCCTTTAATGCAGAGAGAGGACAGTGGATACAGTCGGAAACCAGGGAGAGAGAGCGGGGAATGACATGCAGAAAGGGGCCACGGGTGGAAGTGAACCTGGGCCTACCGCTCGAGACGAGAGTCTCAACACATGGGACGCGCGCCCTAACCATTGCGCCACCAGCGCGCCCCCTAGAATTGTTTCTTGAGATTGAAAACTAGTGTTTGTACTCTGTGAGCTCTCGTAGCTCAAAAGGCCTTGTTAAGAAGCGGAGCAATTCTGAGCGCTGAAACCCTCTAATGTCAAATGATACAGGCTGTAGATATGAAATGTACCTTTAAGACAAACTGTGTTGCTAAGTTACAAGGGGAGCAACATCACTAGAAGTTATCCTCTCGCTCTCTCTCTAAAGACACGCGAGAGAGAGGGGGGGGGGAGAGAGAGGCCAATGGTGTTTGAGTACGGCACGGTACAGATGGCCAGTGTGACCGCGCCCTTAACCCAGAGGAAGAGACCCAAACCGTTACAGTTAAGTAAACCTTGTTACTTGTTAAGTAAACCAAGAACATTGAAATAAAACATATTCCTTAGTTATTATTACGTTTTTTTTCTTTAAAAAAAGGAACTTTTTAGGCCCGTCTGAACTTCGAGCTTGCTGCTTCAGGTAAATAAGACCCTGTTAAAGTATTCAATGAAACGTTGTCTTTATGTTGAGTGACTCAACCTTCTGAAGCCAAAGTGCTCCCAGACGGTCTGGTGATAGTTCTTTACTGGCGTTGTTTGAGAACAAATAAAACATACTTACTGTCTGCTCGCACACCAGAGGTGTTTGGAAAGAGAAGTAGTGCGTGCAGGTCTGAGCTTCTGAGTCGATGAGAACCGGCTCTGGAGGAGACGAGGTCATGGTAGGTGGCCTGTAAAAAAAATAAAACATGGGATGTTTTCTTATTATGAAATGTGCACTGGGTGAGTTTGAGTGTTTTTGCTGCTAATCTCAGCCTCTGATCTCAGTGGGACTAACCTGGTTAACATATAATAATAACAATAACCGGGTTTGGGTCAGACCTGTGGCTTCTTTCCCGTTTGTAATTTTGGTGATATTGTCAGTTCCAGTCATTCCAATAAAGATTGCAAATAGAAACTGAAATCAAATTGAGTGGTGAAGGACATGTGGGAAAGGGAACGGTACCACAGGCGGGACTCAGACTAGAGCCACCTGCCCGGGTCGAGAGGCAGCTCTATCTAGGACTAAAGCCTCCCGTACACGGGGTGTGAACTAACCTTGAGGTCATCTGCGCCCCTTGATTTTCATTTTATAATAAAATAGAAATCCTTTAGAAAAAGGAAAAAAATCCAGCACACTACTCTTGCTTAGCCTCAACAATTTGTTAGAAAAAGTCACAACAACTGGGTCCCTCTGAACCTTTGTCAAGTGTGTACACAAGTTCAGACGGACCTAAATGTTGTGATTTTATCTAATACATGCCGAGCCAGAGTAGTGTGCAGGATTTTCAAAGTGATAGTCTGATGGCCTTACGTGCGTACACTAGAGATAGTCGGATGTGCAAACGCCTCCTTCACACTGAAATAAAAATGAGTACATGATAAAGACCCAGCGCTCAGTGTCGAGGTGTAAGTACCTGCAGAAGAAGTGGACGATGGTCTTGTGTTGGAGTGTGGGGTTTGCTGGGCAGGGACTTCCTCCTTCATACGTCAGCTCCAGAACTTGATCCGTGTACGAGAGTTTCCTGCTCACCTGACCCCCGCTCACTACAGTAGCTCCTTCCTTGATGCACACAGCTGGAGCACAAAACGCATTAAGATATATTAGAACACTTCAAAGTTAAGAAACTCTACAGTTTTTATATTTTTCCACCCAAAGACTGTGGCACTTTTCACTCATGCACTCCTGAGTTCCTGTTGCTCTTTGACACGTCTTTAATGACTACAACATATACAAGATGGCGGACAAAGCAACATCCGACACTGTGATGACAGGTTCTGCCTTCACAATAAAACTGCTCGTAATTGGGTAAATCCACAGAGAAAACAAAAGAGCAAAAAAAAGAGCAATAAAGAATCTGAAGGCAGCTTCATTATGTGCATAGATCGCAGCACTAGCTTGATATTGAAGGTGAACTTTAGCCTGCTCACTTGTGGTGAATTCTGCTGAATGTTTCTTGCAGTGTTCACACAGTAGCTCACCTCGACTTGTGTCAGAAGTTTTACGAAGGGGGCTGGAAGGAAAAAGTTTCGGTGTCGGGGTGAAGTGTGTGGCAGAATGTGTTCATGCAACTCTCGCTGTAAATATTGGCAAACTTTAAGGAGTTTTGTGCATGTGTTATGTTGTATGTTGTTTTGTCTCCCTCTGCTGGTTGTAATATGTATCCTGAGAGTCACAACAAAATGTCTATTCTGTGTTAAGGTTGGCAGAGTAATCTGGTGAAGGGTTCAGTGTTTTAAGGGATCCTGTGGCTTGTGGTAGAGGGTGAGTGTCCGGTCTGATGGCTCTGTGTGAGTCATTGATTTAGGGGTCGTAACAGCGTGTGTGAAAGAGAGCAGAAGAACCTCTATGATGCAGACTTTTTATTGTAGGTTTTGTTTCTGCAATTTGTTTTTATGCATAAAAACAACATTATCTCAAGACAAGCCCACTGTAGCATTTCCAAAAAAGTGTTCCTCCAACATTCACCTCAAATCAAAAACACTCTCTCAGGACTTCATCAGACGTTCTTTCATAAAAAGAGGAACAATCCACTTCCACTTCCATCAACATCATATACAATAATTTAAAAAATCTCACGCTCTCTAAAGAATCATGTGTACTAACATTGTCTTTCTCTGTGTATTTCGATGCAGAGTTAACTTAGAATTAGATATTGATGTCAGACAGTGCACACTCAGCTTCTCTCAGTTCCCTGGTCATCCTCTACTACAGCCCTATGAAACAGCGGTCAATAATTAGAGAAGTAAAAAAGTTTGAGGTCTCTCATTATGTTCCCAGTGCTGTTACGTAAACCAAACAAACATCTGACGAGGTAAAAAGTAACCAGAAGAAGTCAACGAGATGACACGTGCAAAGATTTTGTGTGAAAAAAAAAACAGTTGAGGGGAGTAAAAAAAAAAAAAAGGAATTGCTTACAGGACTAAAACGTGAGATATCTACTGAATTAATTAATAAAATGACCTTATTGTATCATCAGACATTAAGGAAACATGCTATGTTGAAGTGCTCAGGTATGAGAGCAGTTATCAGGTCAACAGGTGTTGCAGCGATGGAAGCGGGCAAGAGAAGTGGTTCAGATAGAAGTGATTGTACCCGACCTAAAAAGCCTCTGCATGTTTCTAATAAGCTCCACGAGCAGAAACGTGCTCAAACTAGGATCAATATTGGAGATGCTTTTGAAAAATGGAGAGAGGTTAGAACACAGAAAGGTTTACAGACCCATGCAGAGCTGGATAAACACTGAAGCTTCAGAGTCCACCACATGGTGACCTGAGTGAGCATTGACTCTAGAGAGGAGGGTGCAGGGGGAGACAGCTCTCTTTAATGTTTTGGATTTGGACTGCAGTACTCATTTTGAACACTAGGGGAATTGAAACTGCAGAAATTGTGTGTGGCCTCACACAATGGAAGAAGTGACTACTGGCTAACTTTAAAAAACCAAACAAACAGGAGATATATCTTTGGTTATTCTCCTTTTATAATCCAATACCCAATAGTAAATGTCCTCCACAAATGCATGACCTTTGAGGTATCAGTCAGTAACCCATCCTATCCTGAAGTACGACACGTCTCTGATTACAGGGAGGGGTGAACATGGAGACGTCATTTCATCTGCAGCTCATAAAGTTAATGGTTGATTCCCCTCGAGCTTCAGGTTTTTTTTTTTAAAGCAACACTGATTTCCCTCTGCGTGGTTAAAGAGTGATCTGAGTGGAGTTGAAGTGCATATGTTGAAGATGTTTATGGTTTAAGCAAGCCCCCCCTCTGAACCTTTAGGGATTTGCTTTAGAAGTCTATCATGTCCCTGTGTGTTAGCTGAGGGATAAATCATCCCCAGACAGAAGTATAAAAATGTCCTCCAAATGCTACAGTTCATTGGAATTAAGTCAGACTGAATGATGACTTTACAATCGATTTCCTCACAGTAATGCAGAGAACAAAGGAGTGGTGGTGGTATTTGTTGTGCTGAAGACAACTTCTATATACTCTTACGATACAACCAGAAGGATCACCTGATGGATCTCCATACCTGTTTCAGGGCTGCACCCGATGTTGGTCATGTTTCCACAGATGTTCAAGCGGAACATCCTCCTGCTCTCCCGAGGATCGAACACCGTGTAGCCTTCCTCCTTCGTCAGGGAGTTCAGATCAAACAGGTGACCTGCAGGGGGAGGGGATTTATTTTAGAAACGTTGGACAGCTGCAGGGTTACAGAAATACTAACACTGACATGTCCACCTCATCTTTGTGAGGGTGATATCATATTCCCTGCTTCTGTAAAAACTAGACAGTCCATGAAGAAGTATTCTAGGAGTGTTGCATGTGTACAGTAAATACAAGGTGTCCAGGAGTCCTCTGACCTGTAGAAGGGTTGGTGACTTTGCAGTCATCATGCTGGATGGTGTTGAGAGGGCAGGCAGCAGCTGTTAACCAGAGGAAGGTGTACACACAGTCCTCGATGGCAGAGATCAGAGTAGGCCGCGAGTCCTGGATGGGGGAGAGAAAAAAAACATGTTTACTTTTATGTAAAACACACAAAAAAAACAAATGTTCTCAGTTTTTCCTGTTGCCTCTTTTCTGTAAAGTCCAACCTTTTACTCTTTATGTACAATTTTATAGAATCAAAAGAAACAGACAAAAAATATTGAGTGTGTTTCCTCACCACTTTATCTTTGTCACACTTGAAGCGGATGATGCTGGTCCTGTTGCGGCTTTTGTCGGGACAGGCCTGGCCGCTGCTGTACTGCAGCTTCAGGACATTTCTGTCCAATGTGGGACCGGACTCCACCTGGCCCAGGTTCACATATTCATCTCTGACCTTCACGCAGGACGCGGCGGTGGACGGACACTTCCACGATCCTGTGCACAGAGTAAACACAGGGTCCGGTTTTGATTTTTATCAGATATTCTTTTTACTTACTTACACTTCAAAATCAGAAGGGAACTAAAGAAATCTGTCTTTCAATCAGGTAACATGAAGAGCACAAGCATGCACACTGACCTCCCTGCTGCACCAGCGACCTGCAGACGTTGATGTAATATTGTTTGTCTGTGTCCTCAGTAGACGGCTCCACTACCCAGTTTCTAGACTCCATAGCCAGAGGGGAGAGGTCGTACGAGTTGCCCTGCCCATCGCTGAGAACACAAGAGACATGAAGAGAGATTTCTGACTGTAACCTCGCACAGGAATAAAAAAATAAATTTAAAAAAGTTGCTGCCGTTCATCGAAATCATCGGACTTGTGCAGTTGATGCTTTTTAACAACACTGAACCTTGCATGCAGTGTGCAGTATGTTAACCCTCATGCATCACTATGGACATTTCTGTCCACTTGGTCAAATTTTATCCCTTCATCTGGCCATCATCTTGTCTGTGTTAGTGCATGTGGCACCATTTTCTGTAAGAAAGACTCGAAAAATTGAACCCTTTAAATGCCAGAATCATGTAATCAAACTGGCATTTAAAGGGTTAAATTCCTGATAATTACTTAATATTTGATATTTTTGAGCAGGGCTGGAGTTGTTTAAGAGATTTATGCAAAAATAAAAAGATAAATAATAAAAAAAATATATATATATATTAATCTGTTTTATTTTTATAGCAGTTTTTTGGCATGGACATTTTTGTCTTTAGTGACTTAAGAGGGTAGTAAATTAATGCCTGAGGGTTAATCTGCCTAATGAACCGGAGATTTGTTTGGATTTCAACATTAAGAAAACATCTGCGGATCTGATAAGATCTGGGAGAGGCAATAGCTTCAATGTAAACTTAAAAAATACACTAATGTGTGTTTGAAGACAGAAAGGTTCAAATACACAACTTACTTATTTTAGTCTGACAATTGTAATGTTTGTATGATGCACTGTCCCAGCTGTATTAAACTGTATTGTATTGTCTTTTGTTTGTACCAAAAATCAAGACTCCTTCTAAGGTCATATTTTACTATAATTGTCTTTATTCTGTTTTTTTGGTGGCACCTGAGTGTATTAAAAATGAAAAAGGAGAAATATAAGTAAAAGTTGTCACATGTCGAGGAGTGGGTAAGAGTTTTGTTACTTGTAGGAGCAGCTGGTGGTTTTGAGCGGGATGCAGGCCAGAGCTGTGGGCCAGCTGAACAGGTAGGTGCAGTCTGAAGTCTCGTTGAGAAACTCTGGGACTCCCTGAGACAAGCCAATAAACACAATACACAAAGAGTTACCTTTGATAAAGACATAAAGAAATGTAGAATAAACAGCTTAACATTCAGTGGAAAGACGTTTTCTTCTGTCAAAGTCAAAACAAGTTAAGGGGATGGATGTTGATGCTGACATTTCTCTTTACTATTGACACTTTTTTGACAGCTCTCCCCTTTTAGAAATGCTTTAAACCGACACTCATACAAGATTTAGATCTGCTAGAATGTGTTTTCTTTAACCACATGTCAAAGCAAATACACAGAGAATTTAAAAGTCATTTTCTGGAAGCTTTGCAGCATCTGTCTGTTGTGTCTAAGTGGAAAAACAAACCAGACAAAAAGGTGTTTTCCAGCACAGGACAGGTGTAATGATGAAGTGTGCTGTTTCCTAAGCGACCTGAGGCGGTGGAGTCAGAGTAATCTATCTTTATGTTAGAGTCCCTCTGACACCTGAAGAGCCTGAATTACAGCCTAAAATGAGGGCTTGAGAATCAGCAACTTTTGGTGGTTTGGATGCATCCTTTCAGGAAATGAGTTGTACTTTAACTCCCACAATGCTGTGCGAAATTAAACCTTATAAGTCACTTCACATAAGACAAAAGAGGATGAAAAAAAATGAAAATGAAGATGGACGCGGCCGGTTTGGGTAAAGTGCCTTTCAAATGTTAAGTTGTTCAATTGTTTACATGCAATGTGAAGTTTTGAATTATTCACTGAGACATCGTGAATATCACGTGAACTGGAGAATCAATAACACGAGGCGGGCTAATGATGTCACAGTAGGAACAAATATCTGCATGCTGAACAGTCCTCACAGGATACAGCACGGTTAGAAGGGACTGTCTACTGTCAGATTGTGTAGGGACTTTGCAATTCTGAAGCACCTAAAGGGAATGAGGGGAAGGGAGGAACCAGGAAGTGTACTAAAGGAAGTGAGGTAGGAGAAGAAAGGAAGTGAAAAGGAAACTAAATAGTGCTCTTTACCACAAATAGAATGAGTATGTGCGAGTGTGATTGGAATAATTAAACTCACAGGATGGCGGTCCGGGTGGCAGGAGAAGTGGATCTCTGTTGATCTTTTGTAGACTTTATGACACGTGTCTCCATCGGTGTAGTTCAGGATCAGCTGGTCGCCCACGTAAGTCAAGACTTGGTTTGCCATTCCTGCCAACACACAACACAAATGTAAAACACCAAAACGTGTAAACAAAGAAGAACGAGGAGGAGGAGTGTTACAATCCTGTACCTGCGATCTTATGGTTGTCTCCGTCCACCTGGCAGGAGGACACGGTTTCGATGCCCGTGTCTCTGTGGGTGCAGATGCCCCTCTGCAGCCCCTCGCACACCGACAGGTGGTAGTTGTACTTTCCGTTTCTGACGGGATAATCTCTGCCCTTCAGAGAGTTCAGGTTGAACTCGTAGCCACTCCGCGGGTCTCGAACTTTACAGTCGACACCTGGACGGATCAGAAAAATAGATTATAGTCTCAGCTTGGCCTGAATAAATGTTGTATTTCACTTTTTATTTTTTTTAACCAGTAAGAATGTTAAATTAAATCCTTGATGTATAAATCTCATCTTATTCTTATTTTTTTTATATTTTAAGTGCTTATTTATGTATCTATTCTTATATTGTTTTATTTGATAACCTGCTGCTGTAACGCCACAATTTCCCAGTTTGGGATCAATAAAGTAATTCTATTCTATTCTATTCATCAGTGTTAAGACAGTTTATTTCTTTATGTACGAAAGTCACTGGTTCTTTCACCTTTAGTCTTCCTGATAGGACAGGCCTCGGACGTCCTCCAGATGAACACATATTCACAACCATCTTTACTGTCCAACATGGGAGAGCCCTACAGAAAAACACAAATCACATCACATTGTGTCTTTTTAGGTCTCTCTAGAACATGTGTGCGTGTGTGTGTGACATAGCAGCTGTGTAGACTACTTATTTAAGGCAGAGGTGTTTAAAGGTCCAATATGTGAGTGGAGCTCTCATTTAGAGTCAGATAGAAGATAGAGGACGGTGTGTGTTTTTAGGTCGTGGGTCGAGTGGATGCTCCGATACTCACAGGGTGGTCATCACACTGGAAGATGATGCGTGTGGAGTAGTGCGACGTGGGACCACACTGATCCCCGTTCTGGTACACGATGCTGATGGAGCCGTCCTCTGCCGCCTGCGGGCTGGACTGGACGTACCCCAGGTTCAAACTCTTTCCGTCGATCACGGCGCAAGCACCCAGAGGACCCTCTGGAGAGAAGAATACAACACATTAAAGACGGGAGCCACTTTGGGGTTAAGGGTCTCGCCCAAGGACACATCGGACATGTGGCTGCAGCAGCTGGGAATCAAACCCTCGATTTTTTCTATCCACTGTCCTATCACTCCATTAAAGGCACAAAAAGCCCCAAAAATAGATCTTAAAAAAACAAAAAACAAAAGTATTAATCCTAAAACACAGACCTGGGCAGTTTCCCACTTGAGGAAGAGGTTTGCAGACGTTGATGTAAAAGCTGCGCGATTGGGCTGCATCGGTCTCTATGGCGACCCAGGGGCTGTCCTCTGCATCCCGGATCAGGTGACTCAGGTCGTACTCGTTACCGTGGGAATCTACAGGTAACAAAAAAAGAAGAACCCGAACATGAACCTTCTCCTAAAGGTGACCAGCTGTGTGTTTGTGTGTAATGTGTGTAACGGTGTGTACATACCGATGATCTGGCAGTCGACCGGAGCGGGGATGCAGACCAGCGCAGTGGAGAACTCAAAGAGCACGTTGTGGACCACGTGGTGGGGTAAAGTACTCAGCTCCTCTTGAAGCAGCTTCAGCGAGCCGGGGTGAGAGGTGCGATTGCACACGAAGTTGATGGTGAAGGTGTCTCGAGTCGCTGATGGAGAAGAAACGTTTTAAAGGAAAAGGAGACTCAAAAAGCAGAATCAATGTTTTGGATGTTAAAAATCAAACTGAGAATGGTAAAACAAAGAAAGGATAATCACATTGTGGTTGACTGTAAGGTCGTTTTATGAATTCATTTTGAGTCCTGACATGGCATTGTTACTCTGCTCAGCTTTTTCATTTGATAAAAATAAGAATCACAACTTTATCAACAGTTTATCTGGTGTACAACAATCTAAAGGAATCGACATTAAAGTGAATTAAAAAACAAAAAAAAAAACAGATAAAGCTGATTTGATGCGCGTGTAAACCGGCTGTTTAACCTTAAAATATATAAACGTTTAACAGTCAGCACCACA